ATTATAACGCCCACACGGCTGAAAGGGCGAGCATGTTTGGTGTGACGGGGATTCGAACCCGCGACCCTCAGATTGCGAGTCGAGTGCCTTAACCACCTGGCCATGCCGAGCCGCTTAAATTTGTCAATTATATATCTGTTACTAAATTAATTGCCTAAACAGCTTCTATCAATGTGAATATTAAACACTTAATCTAAATGATAATACATCCACCTATAAAGTTTACTAAAATAACTCTACTGTGATTTCAATCTAGAATTTTCTATTTTATTTTACGGAAACACAAAGGACAATAGAAACTTCATCTTATTTTTAAGCTGCTGTCGTGAAAACTACTTAAGTTTTCTGGGTCTAGGAAAAGAAAAATCTAAATTATTGTGCAAGGTATGATATTGTATTTATGGACAATATGTGCCAAGCTTTACGATTGTATTGACTTTCACCCCACGCAGAATGTTTTGACTCACTCAAAATGATTATCTGTCTTGACGCTACGCTTGTCATAGGGTTGATTCTGGAGGAGCTGGTTTTTGTAAACGACTGTTCTGATAGCAATGATAAAAAACCACAGTGGCTTGTGTAATATTACGTTCTCAAAATCGATATGCGTATAACAGAGGGATGTTGTTCTCATAAAGCCGACTCCCAACTCGAAACACTTTTGGGGGTTAGTGCGTTTACGTTTTACAGTAGACATATGAAGAGAGTAAGTTTCTTGCTCGTGTCACGAATACAGATAAAATATGTCATAAGGTAAACTGTGTTTCTTGCTCACAGGGTTTCTGCTTTACTTCTACACCTTAAATGCTACCGTAATCATAGGTTATGCAAACAATAAGCGAGATTACATTCCAATTTCATCAAAGGTAAAAATTGAAAGGAGAATCTGTGACGTAGAGGCCTAATGTTTTCTTTGATTGGCCGTACCCACACATATATGATGTGAAATAATGATTTAGGCACTAGCTCTAACATTACTCAAATACCTAGATTATTTTAGGTTACGTTATTGGTAATGGAAAAGGTGATTAAAAACCCCATTAATATGGTGGTCGGAGGCTACGTTTTCACCTCTGTGTGTATGTTTGTTTGTGTGTTTGTCAGCAGTATTTCACAAAAACGGCTAAATGGATTTGGACGAAAAGTTGGTATACGTTTTGACTTTGACCCAACTTAGAAGTTATTAATTTTTGGAAGTTCAAGGTCAAAGGTCAAGATCACAACAAGGTCACGAAAATAAAAAAAATATCTATCTGTTAACATGGGGACAGATTTTTCACCCTTATTGCTCTATAACTCAGTTAAATACGATGGGATTTTGATGAAACGTAGTGGACATATGTAGAATATTATTTCTCATTGCTCTGCCAAAAATAACGACGGACATACAGACTCATTTTCATATTTTTTTAGAGCTGAATATGATCAACCATGCGTGAGGAGGTATGCGCTCTACTGTGTGTTCCTCTAGTTTTCAAAGTATTCACAGTATCCGTTGAAAATGCATAGATTAATTTAAAAAGTATGAACAAATCCTACCAAGATATATATAAAATAAAAACGTTTATTGTGAACCTGAGTACATTTTGGACCCAACTTATATTTTACATTGTTTTATACCCTTTACAGAGGGGAAGCGAAATATGAGAGGTTGTTAAGCATTTCTAATAAAAATTAAATGATACGTTTATTTCGCGAAACAAGGTGAAATGTACACAAATAATGTACTGTGTTGGTATCGAAACCTCTAATTCCTTTCTTTACTTTTGGCTTCTTGATTTGCTCTTTTCAACTCATTATAGTTTTTCAAATAAGTTAAAATTATCACCATAGCACTGTACGATAAATGCTAGAATGAAAATTATACGTTTAAACATTATATACTCTATATTTAGCAAATTAGTATCATTATCAAGTAGAAATAATTGTTTTTATATAGTTTCTATCATTTTCGTACAAAAGTCCTTGAAGTCTGCGACTTCAATACACTACCACTTCAACAAAATCTTATAGTGCGATTTATTAAGGTTATAAAAATTATGTTATTTTCTAGATTTTTCGCGCAAACCTTCACAAAAAGATATGTGATTATAGCCGTCCCTAAATTTCAATTAACAGACTAGAGGAAAGGCACTTAGTCAACAATACCCACCGTCAACTTTTGAACTACTCTTCTTCGATCGAATAGAAGGATTTGACCGTTACTCTTATATCACACCCAAAACTTCAATATGTGAAGCAAGTTTTTATAAGAAAGGGACATGAATAGCGAGTATTGTTACTCTAAATTCATTTTTTACAGCTTGTGTTCCACACTTTTTAAAGTTTTTGTTAGATGTATGTCTAAATTTAGAAGCTTTTACCACAATGATTATCTTGAAACATGACCGAGTAAACATTTGTCGATAATTTTGCTTGTCATTAAGCGTTATTTAATACAAATATTTACTTGTAGACTTTACATGTTTTAATTTGTACAACAAATTTCCTGGTTTCTGTTTGGCTTTTGTTGTTGTCAGTGGTATTTAAATGTGTCAGATAACATAGGTTTAATATTCTTATTTTTAACGATATTATATTGTTAGTTCGATTAAAAATATCAAGCAAAATCGGAATTTTGAAAATCAACAGAATGAGTAGAAACATTCAACCTATACCGTTTATTATCAAGGATATTAAAGGTACTTTGAATATTTACTGGAAGCTATTTATTTATTTCTATACAATTATTTTAGAATTATCTAAAACCTGTTATTTTACAGATATAATGTATTAATTGTTTGTTGTTATAGCATTAATTGGTGTCAATTTTGGTTTACTAGAGATATTGTTTTATTTTTTGAATAATTTACAACCATAAAAACAGGTTTGATATCATATATTTTTTCATGATATGATGGAAAAATATTTTTTTACCAAGAAAATTTGAACTTAAAAACTTATTGAATTAGTGAAAAGTTTACATTTGAATTATATGATAAAAATATATAGATAAAACTTGCTAAAAAGAATGACCTGCAAGTTTATTTATCATAATTGGTGTATGAAGACTAATATACAAGATTAATAAGCATTTATACATTGAATACATAATCTTATAGATGGTTGAGAATAATAACTTAAATACCACTACTTGTTTCAGGAATACTGGCGACGACTTGAAGTGATTGTACTAAGGAAAAAAAACATAACGTAGGGGTGAAGAACTTTGAAAAGGAATCTAATTATACTCACCTACCTATACTGCATTAAAGCATGCGAATAGCTGGGGTTAAAATAAGACAGCTACTCAAAGGCAATAATCTAATTAATGGTAATGTTTTATTTTTTATTATATATGAATGTGTATAAAGCGTACATTAAATAACGTTGTCATGAAGTGGAAATCGTATTCCTAAACACTTTTATAAAACTATATACAATCAACTCATCAGTAAAAAAAGGACATATTTAAAAATGAAAATTTATGATATAATTAAACAAGGTTTTCCCATGTATAAATACAATTAAAATTAGTTCAGCAAGCTAAATTCTAAGAGAAAGCATGAACGTTCCTCTAATAAATTCAATATAGCTGATACCTTATTCATTGTTCTTTGTACATACTTAGTAACCTAAAAAAATAGCTTAATTGATAATACATGAACTCTATTAGTATTTTCTTTGCCAAATTTGACTTGAGGATAATTTGATTATGATTATGTTATTGAAACATGTTTGCAAAATATTAAATGAACTATGTCTAGATATTTATAGAAAAAACTCTTGAAAATTCTTTCGTATATTCTCCAGCATTAAAGGGATATTTCTTTCATTCTTTAAATGCACAATGCATATTAAGCTTTTATTTATTCAGAAATTCAGCATATGGTAAATTAGTCCAACCTTTCCGCTTTTCCTATAAAATATATTCTATACATTTAGTGACGAACATGTTTGAAATTAAAATAATTTTGCAATTAATTATTTTGTGCATTGAAAGTGACACACGTGAATAATGTATTCTTAGAAGGTTTATTGGTTTATGGGAGCAAAACCATTTTAAAAAATAAAATAAATGTTCTAAGTATCATGTACAAGTAGGTATATTCCTTGCATACAACTAATGTTCGTTAAAAGCCTCCAACATGAAGTTTTCGGAAATAATTTATCGTTACATTGGGCCCGACATGGCCAGGTGGTTAGAGCGCTCGACTCGTAGGTTGGAATCCCCGTCACACCAAACATGCTCGCCCTTTCAGCCGTGAGGGCATTATAATGTGACGGTCAATCCCACTATTCGTTGGTAAAAGAGTAGCCCAAGAGTTGGCGGTGGATGGTGATGACTAGCTGTCTTCCCTTTCGTCTTACACTGCTAAATTAGGAACGACTAGCGCAGATAGCCCTCGTGTAGCTTTGCGCGAAATTCAAAACAACCATATTCACTAGGTTCTCTTCTGACCTTAAATATAAGCAGGTCCTGTAATGCCTAGTGGTAAGTAGGACTGAAAACGCTAAAAATCGTGTTTTTTATATCCTATATCAGTAGAGTACATATAGCCAATTGTGTAGATCTTTGCTTGACGACAAAAAACAAAACAAACTTTGTAACAACATTGAACAGGTACGGACTCTAGCAGTTTTTTGGGAATACTAACCAGTATATTGTTAGTGTACATTGTTTTAGTTTGTTTTGTATAATTTCGCTCAAAGCTACTTGGAGGATAGTCATTCCAATTTTAAGTGATAGGTGGAAAACAGCCAGTCATCACCACCCATCGCCAATTCTTCGGTTACTCTTTACCAACGAATAGTGAGATTGACCGTCACATTATAACGCCACAACAGCTGAAAGAGCGTACATATTCGGTAAAAGAATTCGATCTCGAGACCCGCAGATTGCAAGTCTAATGCTGGAAGGCACCACCAGGCCATGCAAGTTGGTGTATAATTTTCCAAACTGGGTATAGGCTAATTGGCTTCTGCTTTTCTTAATCACCTTTCAACTGATACAATAAACTTTCAATTGAACGTTCGTCTCCTAATACCTATTATTCACTAGGGAAGTTTGTTTTTGCTCACTTTTTTTTTACTGTAAATCAAAACGAGGGCCAATTAATAAACGTTTAGTCATTGGAACAGGAGGAGCTAAGATGTTGTGATAATATTCATTCTTTATTTTGCCGTCAGTTCGAATAATAACTTCCGTTTTGTTTGTCTGTTTGTTTTGAAGTTATGCACAAAGCTACCCAAAGGGCTATCTGTGCTCTTCCCACCACTGGTATCGAAATCCGGTTTCTAGCGATGTAAGTCCGCAGACATACCGCTGTGCCACTGGGGGTCACTTCCGCTTTGACAGCAGAAAAATATCTGCAAACCATTATTAATACACCTCGATGTTTTACTGTTTTGCTTACATTAAATTTTTGGTTCGTTACGTTTCTTCACAGAAACTAGTTAAAATGAAATGAAGTTTAATATTTGTTTGATCAACCCATAATACATTTCGTCGATCTAGACTAACCATCAGAAATAACTAGTGTAAAATTTTTGCAAATACATGATTCTAATAAGCTTGCATACAAATAATAAAACGAAAGAATTATTAAGGACACAAGACACACATTTGACATTTGATATGTATATGGTAGCTAAGTCGCTTTGGGCTTAAAACACAAACTCTTTTCCGTTGCAAGATATTCCATTACTAAGCTGTTTCAAGTTTGTAAATGATAAAACAAATCATTTTTTGTCTTATATATATAGATATTTATATATATATATATATGATATATATATATAAAATATATATATTAGATTTTACTACATACGTATGGTTAATATTTCAGAAAGGGAAATACATATCTCTTCATCATAAATATCTGACATAAATAATTTATACGGAATTTTTCTAGACGTATTTAATCCTTGAAATAGCATTGAAGTATATTATGGCTAAAACAATGTATACAGCAGATAAGTTTTATTATTTTTTTCACATTCTTCTTAAGGTGCAACCATTTTTGAAATTCAGTAATGAATAAATAAGCGGGAAAATCTTTATTTGTGTGTCGGATTATTTGCTGTGTCCACCGAGGGGATTTTAACCCCTGATTTTAACGTTGTAAATCCTTAGACTTATATTTGTATTGAAATCCTTAAGTTTGTCAATTTTTTTATCAAAAGTAACAGCTAATTTTATTATTAACAAAATTATGTTAACTAGCTTAGAGCTACCAGAAATGCTTATTAGGTCTGGGTAATGTGATATTAAACCTATACTATGACTCATATAAAACGTAAGTGTACATCAAATAATTTGAATAGGAATGCTTTCTTATATCTGTTATAAAATCTAAATTAACAGTTCATTTCACGTAATTAATCTCTGCGTTGTTTAATCATGTTTTATGATGCCAGAAGACAAACCAACGTAAACGCTCGTGCGTTATTTATTGGCATGAATCTCTTCCAATGATTCTATTTTTTCGTTATTCTAAGAGATATATATAATTTTTGTGCGCAAAAATCAATTTCACTCTCACGTGAGTTTAGCAGTTTCAATATACTTTGTAAAAAAGAACGTCCACTGGATTTAATTTTTAACATGAAATATTATTCAATCTGAGATTTGTTCGTTCAAATAATGTAAAATATCTTTTACATTTGTTCACAGATCAATGCTTAAAGTTCCTTAAATGATAAGTAACAAAACATAAAATCATTATTAGTGTTTGTAATCAGAGATAGTAGAACGTGTTAGCAACCAACACGTGACTCAAGAGCCAGAATGGTTCGATAGATAAAATTACGAAAACATAGCAAAACAAGGATTTGAAATTAACGTAAGCGAATCAAATGATGTTTTCTCATATTACGGGAACTCCAATTATATAGATCTAAATTTTTCTCACATTTCCTGCTAATTATATCAGAAATACTACACAATATTCGCTATATTTATTAATTCATAAAAATTTAATATGAAGACTTTATCATCCTATTTCAGCGATATTTTCTATACAATCTTTATGAAATTGTTCTGACATTCATGCTATTTAATAATGGACACAATTGGAGAGAATCTTGTAGTCTCATTCATATGAGCAGCGAAAAGTGTCGAACTCCAACTATACAGTTAATATTGGTTTTAGGTAGCTTTAATAAACTAAGTTCTCAGATACTCGGAACATTATATATATATATATATATATAAACACATATATAAATAACAGTATTTAACTTAATAAATGGAAAACTAGTACACAATATAAAAGCGTCGTCGTAAAGGTAACACTAAGAGTAATATACAACATACAGTTATCAAGCACCGTACTTCTCATCATTTTAGCTTTTAACTTACCATAATTTTTCAGAGACAAAAGTTCTTAGCATTGAGCAACTGGATGTTTGTAAGAGAATGAGAAGGTATGAAAAACACATTTATATTCATATAATGATAACATCTCTTATTTAATCTTTGTCGAAACTGCATGCGAAGAAGTAATGAGTAGCAGTAATGCACAGTTTAGTATACTTGCCAGCATGTTGGTAATGCTATATTTACAAACACTACATTTATCTTATCTTATCTTTATCCTTCATTAAACATTTTCTGAAATGATGTTATGATGGCGAACTTATGAAGCATATACTTTAAACACTTTAATCATTTCTAAACTGTGTAGCTCAAGTTTTCTCATCACTGGAACCAAACTTCGAGACGTTTGATCAAATATATATTTTACACTTTTATTTAGTTTAATTTTATAAGCTTAAAAGCAGTTTCTCTTTCCTGGTGTAACTATTCTAATTTAGATGAAAATACTCCTCACGTCTCCCGGTGGGACAGCGGTAATTCTACTGACACTAAAATTCGGGGTTCGTTTCCCCGTGGTGGACGCAGCAGATAGCCTAATGTGACTTTGTTGAAAATCAATCAAAAACTACTCGTCACGTTACAAATAACACTAGATTAAGCTGCATATTATTGTAAGTAGCTACATTTGAATTGTCTATGTCATTTAAATAGCAAGGAGGATTGCAAGATGTAATTACAAATCCAATTTCTAGAAAAAGAAGGAAGTTTAGTGTACAAAAAATACATTTTGTTAAGTATTTAGTACTTTTTGAGGCCTTTCTTTCCTTCCTTTGACTCGTCTGTCTCTTGGCACCTTATGAATAACGCTTCTTCGTTATTTTATGGCAAATGTAAGTTCTACAATTCTCATATTGTATAATTTAGTATGCTTACAAGTACATTCCTGATAGTACATTACTGAACCCATTTTAGCATAAATATATAACCTATATACTTTTGTTACTAAACAACATGACATAAAAGCCATTGTTGGAACGCATTGTTACCAAAACGTACTCGCTTTTCTATATATTAGAAGTTGTTATATGAGGAACCACTATGCTATAGCAGTCACACATACACAGACACACAGATGCGTGTCTATCTATGATTTATATTTGTAATATAAGGAACCACTTTTTCTGTGTGGTTTGTCGCTAGCTTGTATCATTTAAAAGATGCGCAAGTGCGCACACACGTGGATAAGATAATTAATACCTACGTGCACACCTTCAGAATCCACTTAGTATGGGTGCAAAATTTCAGGTTTCTAGGTTCTTTCTTATTGCAGCTCTGGCAGTCACACACACACATACACACAGACCAACAGACACGCCCTTTTATTATTATTATTATAGATAGTACTTCATAAACATAATTGGTGTTGGACATTTCTTAAATAAAGTTTATTTCTACGAAATACTTCTTTACATAACGGATATTCTGTCTCTTCTTTAAACATTTACGGTACGAAAATGTAAGAATCATCATAATGATTGTACGAAGAATAGATTTCGCAGAAACTTCTGTAAAAATAAGCTCACTGATGATATAGTCAATGTGTCTATCGTGTGGATCAGTGTTTAGTTTCAAGCAGGCTAAATGTTCATATACTTACCCTGTTTTTTCTAAAGTGTAGAGCTTATAAAAATGAGCCACGGATTCAATATATCTTTAATAACAGCACGTATGTCTTCACTTTCATTTCCAAGTTATATGTTTTGTAAAATAGAATAGGTAGAAACAGTGCATTACAAAGTAAAATAATAAAAACAAAATCAACTCGGATTGCTGATATCTAGTGAGTGACTACAAAAAGAAGTATTTTTGATAGTGTTAATGAGTGTATTACTCGTAATATATGTTCGTGATGGTAAAAGTGACTTTTATCTTTTGTAGGTGCCATCATGTATTTGCTTGAAGTCTAAGAAGTTTTTCTCAGACAAAGTCGTGAAGAGAGCAAAGACTGAAACAGAACATATATACAAATACGTATAAGATTTTATGTTAAAGGATGGTTTAGAGCTGTTTAGAAATAGAAACAGAACATATATTGTTATATTTGTGACTTTTATGCTTGGAACTTTATCATAATCTTCGCGGCTTAGAGCTCATAATTATATATAACTAAATGTATATTATATCTTTCTTTGTACATAATGTGATTCTTAATTTATAGGCTAATGAATACCGTTAGCCGTACTTCTGAGGATTTTAAGCACAAAACGAAGTGTATCAAACGTAATATTGTTCTTTAAGAAAGAAAAAATAACTTAAGATGCAGAAAGTTCACATTGTCCTAAAAGATCTTTCCATTAAAACTTACACTGGGGACTAGACTTCCATATTATCATAGAGTCTGATCATTGAGTAAACGATCCTTAGCAATGCTCTAGTGGCCTCTAGAAAGTTTAGAAGATAAACTTAGTATCTTACAGCAACATGGTGGCCTCGATAAGACTTTTCTCATCGTAGGAGAATATACATGAACGGCAATTATTATAAAGAAAAGCTTAGGTTTGAAGAATACCAAATTTAATAAGACAAGATAGTAAAAGTCATAGAGAAAGTATTAAATAAGGCTGAGCGTCGAGAAATTCTGTTGTCAACCGTATTGTGGTGTGGGTAGAATCACTGTAAAATCCCCGTTACAACATAAAGTAAGACATTGCTACGTCGAAAAATGGCTTATTCGGATTTATTTGAAGTCAATATGACGATTGATGACGATAACATCACCTTTACTAATAACACAAATACCACATATGACATGATGGAGTTTGGACCTCCAGAAGTGACTTTTGAGATTGTTAAAATTTTGTATGGTATCGTTTGCTTGATTGGTCTTTGCGGAAACACTCTCGTAATCTATGTGGTTTTAAGATTTTCTAAAATGCAGACAGTGACAAATATGTACATTTTGAATTTAGCACTTGCAGACGAAATGTTTTTGATTGGTCTCCCTTTTCTCATCACCACAATGACCGTTAGATATTGGCCTTTTGGGCATATTATGTGTAAAATGTACATGACCACGACTTCCATCAACCAGTTCACCAGCAGCCTACTACTGACCGTGATGAGTGCTGACCGCTATGTGGCCGTTTGTCACCCTATATCTTCACCTCGCTACAGAACCAGTTTCATTGCCAAGTTCATCTGTCTCACAGCATGGACTGTATCGGCTCTACTCATGGTTCCTATCTACATGTATGCTAGTGTGCTTCATAATGGTGACACTGGAACATGCAATATCTTCTGGCCCGAGAGCAACTTTATGAACGGACAAATGGCCTTCACCCTCTATTCTTTTACTCTAGGATTTGCCATTCCACTAGTTCTGATATTGTGGTTCTACTTCCTGGTTATTTGTAAATTGAGAAGGGTAGGACCTAAAAAGAAATCTAAAGAGAAGAAGCGAACCCACCGCAAGGTAACCTATCTTGTTTTAACAGTGATTACCGTTTATGTTATCTGTTGGCTACCATATTGGATTAACCAGGTTTATATCTCCCTTCTTCCACCAATGCAAAACCAGACAAACATAGGGGTTGTAATCAATCTACTAGTAGGCTGTTTATCGTATGCTAACTCTGCTATGAATCCGGTTTTATACGCCTTCCTTAGTGACAATTTTAAGAAGAGTTTCACTAAGGCTTTTACCTGTGCTGCTGGTAGAGATGTAAATGCTCAGCTCCATGTAGAAAACAGTGTGTTTCCTAAGAATACCCGTGGAGGATCCAGCAAAAGCAAACATCAGGCTCGAAACAAATCTGACGAAGGTAAGACCAATCAAGAAACAGAACCATCAACAGCCACCACCTTAACTTCACGGTCCAACAATATCATGATGAAAGAAAAAGGAAATACAGTTACAAATGGATTCGAAAAACAATCTAAAGAAAATGATCTTGTAACACAAGTGTGAAAATATAAGGACAAGTGAGCATCTAATGCTAATGGATAGCTGATTTACTGAGAAACAATATTTATAGTTTTACATGCTTTAAGCTGCTAATCACCATTTTCTGTTTACTCTTAAAATATATTTCAGGTTCTCATTAGAAACAATTATTATTGCTTAATACATTCATAATTCAATATTCAAAGCTTAAACTCTTACCATAGAATACGAGATGGTGGCAGTTTCATCAAGATGAAATTGCTAGAAAACGAAAACACTTATTTCTCAGGCTATAGCGAGAAGAATTTATAAACACTTTCTGTGAATAATTAAGCAGAAAGCTTAGCATCTGCTTATTATATATATACATGTATGTATATTAAATTGATGACAGAGGAGAAAATGACACAAAATTATTGTATGAATAAAGAAAGTGATTCGAAACAGTATTGTGGGCTCAATAAGTCGTAAATCTATTGTAACTGGAGATACATTAAACCTGATTCTCTAGTTATTTTTTACTTTAACGTGTTAAATATCAATATCATATATTCTTTCAAACATTGTAATTTTATGTATAGTTATGGCATAAGTGGACGTGTTTTATGTAACAAGAGTGTTAGGTTGTTAAAACTCGTTGAACGTTTTCTTATACTTCTATAAATGAGAAGTGTTCAAGATAGGTTGTTAAAACTCTTTGAACGTTTTCTTATACTTCTATAAATGAGAAGTGTTCAAGAAACCGTGGACTGTATTCTACTTAATAAGGGAAACTAGTGAGTTCTGTACACCGGAATGAGTGTTTCTGATTAACAAGAAGTTTGCTTAGGGTTTATGGATTTTTTTGAAAGTTATGGACTCTCTAACTCCATTTAGAAACTGCATTTCTGTTATTAGTATATATTGCATTATAGTATCTTAAAGTAAAATATTAAAAAATAACATGAATTTATAGAGAAACTATTATGACCGAGATTTGATTACCTTTGTCAGTTGAATTTTTCTGAGAACCTGATGTAGGTGAATATTTAAACTACTAGAAGTTATGCTTACTTCAACAGTATTATTAGTAGGCAAGGAATATATCTTATAAATGTGACTATCTTATGGTAAAATATTGTGTTACAGAAACATGTTTTCTTCATTGTTGTTGTTGTTCTTAGTGACGATTTTTTTCTTTTCTTCTGCTTCACTGTTTATTAAGAATGCCGATTAATTTGGATCATATATGTTACACTACAGCACTATGTGTATGATTATTTGTACCTAAGTATTTATATGAAATAATAGATGCTTGCTGAAAATGCACATCTCTGATTTTAGGAACGGTAAAAATGGTTTATCGGAACATCAACTGCAGTCTTGATGTTCGCTTCTTATTGAAGCAACCGCTTGAGGCTTTTAAACGTAGACGTTGGTAAGAACTAATAAACTATTTTATGTATGTACAAGCACTTTATATGGGAGGCTATCTATAGGCTCTGTTAAGTTTCTAGTCACACTTTTCATGCTACAAGACTTGGGGCTCTTGATCACTCAGCTTATGCTGTGCTCAAAAAGTAATGCTATTCTAGACTTTGTGTACTTTGAACACAATGGATTAAGACAGTTTATTCTACCTTCGTGATGTATCATATTAATTTTCTAATGTTGAATTCAACAATTTTTGAGTGTCTATTTATGCTTAGTGTTTTCGTAAATCAAGAGTTTGGTATCAGTATTTATTGCTCTTTGAGAAACAGAATGTTACGAAAACTAATTTTCCTGTGGTTTTAATATGTATCTGTAGCGCTGTATATTTGCATCAACGTTATCCAAAATGTCTTCACATAAATTGCTTCGATGGCTTGTTTCTAAAATAGAAATGAAAATTAAGTATGTTGTGCTTAAACTAGTCTTGTATCTGTGTTATATTAGTGAGTAGTTAACTAATAATGGGTTTCATCTAATCTTACTTGATGGTAGTAAATATAATAATGATCGTTTAAAATGTTTTGATTCAGTAAAATATGATATGTTCCTAAGTATACATTAAGTTATTCTGTAAATGGTTTTTGCGTTTGAGTGATATAAATTGAATCATAATGTCAAATATATATATATATATATAACACATATAAATATCTGTACGCATATATATGTTATTATGATACTCGATATTACTACTATTGACTGTTAAGTATTGAGTGTTCATTTTCCATTCTATAATAGGTTAAATAAACACGGTATAGCTTATTGTATTTTAAATGAAATTTTTGAAGCGTCTGTACATTAAAATACACTAACGATAAAATATTATGTGTTAAACTTTATGAAATGTGTTTCATAAAATACAAGTACTATTAATGTAATTTTCTTTCAACTAAACAGAATAAAGGATCGTTTAGCTTTGTGTAGTCTTATAGGCCCATGTAAATTATGTTATGACTAATCTTGAATATTCTGTATAAAAAACAAAACAAATAAATATCCAAACCTGTGCAAGACATAAGACATTTCTATTATTTGAGTACGGTGAAATTGGGACAAAAAAACGAAACAGTTATAGATACAAAAAGTCAGTTGCTGGAAACGCAATTTTAAGTATGGAACGAGCTGTGTATCACGTGTTGTAAACTGTTTAGAATGTTAAATATACTTTTCAGAAGTCATATTTGGTTATGTGAGATCTTATAAACAATTTAACATAGATTGAAGTAACTTACTAGAAAATTAAAGCATACTATGGGATAAACAACATTTTAATATTAAATTTCATATAGATTAGTCATAACTTACTTGCCTTGTTTCAATTATAAATCATAGCTACATTTTCTTTGTAAAGTTTTGTCAATGTTTATTAAGTACCTAAACTATTTTTTCAGGTTTTTTACAGCACATGTTTCAGTGGTTTATTTGTATTTCCACTTAATCAAAACAGGAAATAAACAGTGAAAATTAAGTGCAGTTTTCCTACCTTCGTTACCGATATATTTTATTATCTTCCATATACCACCAATTTAATATAGGTTTTTCAGTAACTTAATGATGTTTCATAACCAAATTTTCTTTCTAAAATAATGGAATTTGCATTATTTTTAAAGCTTTTTTGTGCTTATAAAGATGTTTTGAAGGATTTATAACAAAGGAATACATTTGCTTTGAACCTAATCTATCAATATAAGGTGTTAACTGTTCAAAACAAAATATGGAATATTTTATAATTGTTGAGTGATTGATATTTCGAATATGAAGTTAAAACAAGTAACAACATACATTAAATATATTTGGTGTGATTATTCATTTTCGTTTAAGTTTATTTGGTGTAAAATGTATGTCATTTGTGTATGAATATATTACAGTTTTTATTTAATATTTTATTTCAAACACGATATAAAATAAAGTTCATGTTTGTCTTGTATTCATGTCATTTTTGAACTTTAAATAGAGATTATACACTTGTATCTAAGCTTCTGTTTGTGATGAAGATGGTAAAGAAGTGTTTATTTTATGAATGGGAAGATATTATCGCACGCCACCTTCTTTTAGTCGTAAGATCTCAAGTAAATTATGATAATTGATATGGAGAAATACGTCCGAAGAAACTTAAGACAAAAAAGGTGAAAACTAAACAATCAACAAATAATAGTTACATAGACAGTTATGGACATACATAGAGAAGTGCATGAAGCAAGACCACAATTAGTTAATTTACTGCTATATAAGACTACTGTCGTTGGTCGTTTCTCCAAGTACAATCAACTTCATCAAACTTCGGATGTTTTAAAGCTGGAAGTTATCTACAATTGATCTCGTTGTCTCTCACTGAAACTTTCAACTTCTCAAAAATCTCCTTGTCTAGTTTCCTATTTTTCCATTCTTCTTTAGCATTCATTAATATTGTTCGGAACATTTTACTAACTGTGGTTAAATACATTAATTAAATACATGTTTTTAAGTCAATAAGAAAGATAAAAGCATATTCTATATATGAGACTTCTCTTGCCAAGCAGTAATATAAACAAAATAACAATGATTTTAAGAACTGTTCAAGGACAAACAAATAATGGTTCTTATTTAAATTTTATTTCTTTAACGTGACTTATAAAACTTTTAATGATTAAAACCTGTTCCATTTTTTTAATATAAACCTTTTAACTATTATCGATGCTTAGGCAATAACTATTAATAGCGAAATAATCCTTTCTGTGATTAGTTCTTATAGAAAGGTAAATGCTTTACATGCAAATTGAGGCTTTTGGAATGGTAATCCCTGGAACTACATATCGAATATCATCCTGCGTTATAGAAGCAGGATAAAGTGAAACCAAAATAAAATAGAAAAACAATATTCTAGAAGCAGGCACTAATTATTTGGACAAATAATAGAACAAATATAAAATTGATTTATTTTTGAAGTTGTCGTGATTTTCCTCCTCAAAGCATTAAATGTGAATTAATAATACAAACATATCTACCTTTTGTTAAATAGAAAAATATTTCACACACTGTAGAAAAAGATACAGGGTAGCAATAATGAATTAACTAAACAAAACAATGTCTGATTTACATTTAATACCATTTTTCTAAGTAATTAGTTTTCTATCCATACAAAATCTTTAGTTTCAATGCACATGCAACATGTGAATGTACTAATAAATGAAAAAAAAAAGAAACGATTGTTTGCATAGTTTCTTGTTTTTTCTTGTACTAAATATAAAAACAGTATTTTCAACCTGAGAAGAATGAACACCTGTTCAAAACATGTTAAAGACAATGATTAGTGTCATTGACAGCGCTGTCGTGTGTGAATATTTGTGATCTAGCAGTATACGTGTAGCTGAATAATAGGTTTTTGTCAACAAATTTAGGGATAGGACAAAATAATAGAGTAGGCAATCTCCAATGTCCTTGATCATGTTGTAGTGTAACTGTTGTGTGCTAAGTATGTAACTAGATTACCATGATTGCGAGTAGTGAGGGTTTTGCATATCAAACCCAAAATGCACACTTACCAACTTCAGGCTATTAAAAACCAATGACAGTTAAATTGCTCTCATGACCACAAGTTGTTTTAATTGAAAATGTAAAACATGAATATGTACATATTGGGTTCATACGATAATTTATTGCTTAACAAAAAAATAATACAAACGGCACAAAGCATGATGGGAATAATTATTTTAGAAAAACAACAACTAAGCCACATCGTTATCACTATCATTCTTCAGTCAACCATTCGATTTCTGATGTCGTTAAGCGCAAATGTACACAACGGGCTATCTTTGCTTTGAACGTAATGAATATTGAAATTCTGGTTTTAGCGTTATAAGCCCAAAGACTTTCCGTTGAGCCATTGGTGGTGGTGGGCAATAAAACAGTGATATAGAAAGCACAGTTTCTTTGGTTTTAACATAACTGAAAGAAAGTTTGATATACTTCATGAAGACAGTACCTTTACTGCCATACGTCGAGATAAACATTTAATTTAACATTCTCATGAAAAGAACATGAAAGATTTATTAGTTTAGACACAAATAAGAAAGTTGAAAACTACTAACATCCAAAAGGTATACAGTTTTTACCTACGTTTATGATATATTAGATGTTATTATATTATCATCAAAAGTTTAGGATTTGTGGTAGGACAAAAATACTTATAAAATCAGAATATCATTTAGATGCACATCCAAGTGCTTAATCTATCCAATATTTGCTGTTGTTGTGTGGAACTTCATCTAAAACAAGCAGGACATAGGATAGCAGAACGAGCATATAAATTCTACATAAAACTGTGATCCAAGTAGACCTGCAGTGAACCACATCTACCACCATAACAATGACATTACCCGCTTCAAAATAATATAACTACTGTCTCCAATACAAATCAATCAGAAAACAACAAGGTAAAATCAAACTGGCATATTAAATTGCAGTTATCTATCTAAAAAACGAGGCATTATATTTTGTATAATTTTATTTATATTCACATTAGTCATTAAAAGGTTATACTTAGAACACTCATTGACCATCCAATTGGTGTAACTTGTTTGAAATAGTTTTTAGACCTACTGCATTAAACTAGGCTTTTAGTATCTTAAAAATTTGTAGGGTTTGAAACAAATAATAGATTAGGCCGTCTTTCCTTCAGTATAGTTACATATTTTTATGATGAAGAGAAAAATTCACAATTAGGTAGTATCTTATCTTGACTGTGAAATTAGGCCTTGAACACCGAAAGTTTAATATTAGGTTTCTTTTTTAAGTTTCTGTTCGTTATATCACTGATCTACATTTACCTAAAGAAGGGATTCCACCAGAAAGGTATTTTAAATAATAATAACAAACAGTTTTAAATTACGGATCTATTGTTGAATTAGCTTTCCATTTTTTGAATGTTATGTTCAGAGTTAACACTAAGCGCCTAACAATGACAGTGACCAAAGATAAATCTCCTATAAGCAATAGTATTTTTTGAATTAAAATAAGTACACAAACAAAATTACCTTCACTAAATGACAAAAATAATATTAAGTTATTATATTAAAATATAGTAGTAACATTATCTAATTTGCGAGAAGGATGGGAATAGAAGGGCAGAATTTGGACGACTGTTTTGTTTACGTCAAACGCATGTGCATTATTTCCAAAAAAGATGGGATTAGGACACGATGGAACAGAACAGCACATCGCCATCTTGAAGTGTATGTGAAACCTTTCGCTTAAGAAGAAATGGGAGTAAATCCCGCACTATGTGACAGACTGCATCAGAATAAAAAAAAATCCTAACAAATCATTTATACAGATCATTTTAGGAGTTAAATTCCAATTGGAAATATTTATAAAAGACTTCTGAAAAAGATGAAAATATATTAAAATGTTTTTATTTCACAATTTTGTATTTAAGAGTTATATAAATAAATCACAGCTTATATTCCACTTAATAGTATCAGCTTATACAATGGTTAGTATGAACTCATAAGGTTTATATTTCTAGACTTAGAATACGTGATATTTAAAAGAGCGGAATATAAAATAGTTTGGAATATTTAAAAGAAGCAAAGTAATGCTATTTAAAAA